TTTGTCTTTCATCGGGTACTAGCGGTTCACTTTCCTTCTTATTATAATATTTGCTAAGTGAGCTTTGGCTGCTCTTTGATGCTTCCCTTATTCTTCTTTCTCTGATGATTTATGTGTTCCTGTGTTGGGTTTTTATTGAGGCCTTTTCTCTTGATGTCTGTGGCCTTCCAGCCTTTTTCTTCTTTTCTCCCTTTACTCATTTTCTTCACCTTTGCCCTTTGCTAGTGAGTAGACCCCTGAGGCTGGGTTGCAATGCAGCCTCAGCCTCCTCAGTTGGAGGGATGCAGAGATCATTGGGCTGCATCATTTCTGCTGGGACAGGCTTGGCCTCAACTGGGTTTCTAGTTTCTGTTTTTTAAGTCCTGATTCAATCACCTATTCTGCCTCTCTCTTTCCTTTAAGTGATTGGTCAGAATTTGTGTCTGCTAATTCTTGCTAAGGTGGAGCAGGGATGTTAGGACATAGTTACTGCAGTTGTAGGGGATCCTTATACCAAATCCAGGCCCCTAGGTAAAGACATCTGGGAGTCTGCTATTTGTGCTGGCTGTTGAGGGTGCATGGAGGCTAATGGTGCACTGAGGGTGACCTCTCGGTATCACAGCTCTCCAGTATAAATTCAGAAGCTGTTTTTACCTTGACAAGGGGTTCTATTTTCTCTTGTAGATTTAGCTGTAGTTGTTCTACATCTGATGTATAATTCCTTTGGGATAGGGAAGTCGAAGGGTTAAAGAAGTTTGTAGAAGGCAACTAATCTGCCATCTTGTTGGATATATCACACCCTCTGCTCTAGCCTGGTCAGCTTCTCCACCATCCCCCCTTTATACCCACAGTATAGAATGTCCTCCCTTCCCTTCTGCCTCTCCAAATCTTTCCAGATTTTTGAGACCCAACTCAAGTACTAACTGCTGACCTAGCTCAGGCTGATCCCTCCTTCTCTGAGACCTTATAACATTTATTATTTTAAATCCCACTCTGGATTGTTTTATTACATAACCAAGATCATGTGTATGACTCTTATCTCCCCAGTGGGAGATAAGCTTCTTGAAAGTGAAGGGCTGTGGATTATACTTTATATTTCTTTGGGTTTGGATATTCATTGGATCATAGAATTTAGATAGAAGAGATCTTAGAGATCATTCAGTCTGAGCCCGTCATTTTATAGATGAGGAAATTGAGACCCAGAAAGGCAATGTGGTTTGCTAAGGTCACACAGTGAGTTAGAAGCAGGGCCAGAATCTGAACAAGGCCCTCTGATTTCAAATCCAGCTCTCTTTGCACAAAAGCATACTGCCTGACAAAGAGCTGGCATGGACCAGCAAGAGGCATCTGGGGGCAGGAAAGGGTAGATTTCCACGGGCAGTTGAATCATGTAGGCAGCCATTTTTGCCAAACTTGCTTCAGAAATGTCCAACGAGGGGGCAGCTAGGTGGCACCAGCCCTGGAGTCAGGAGGATCTGAGTTCAAATGTGACCTCAGACACATAACACTCACTAGCTCTGTGACTCTGGGCAAGTCACTTAACCCCAACTGCCTCACCAAAAAACAACCAAAAACAAAACAAAAACAAAAACCAACAACAAACAAACAAATGTCTGGTTGGTCAATTCTCAGCAAAAGATAGAGGCACTCTGGGGAACTGGGTTCCAACGTAGCTCAGTCAGTAAGGCAGGAACATTGTTAAGCCTGTGAAGGCAGAAAAGGGAAGCTCAGGAAGTCTGTGGGACATCAGCATGGGCTGCTGGGGCATTGGGTGTTCTACTACAGGATGAATGATGTGTCTATTAATTAAGTGATCCCTGGGGCACAGGGCTCCTTCTTAGAGCTGTCTAGAATTGAATTTTGAGTCAAAGGACCTAAGTTCAAATCTTGTCCCTGCTGCTTGATGCCTGTGTAACCTTGGCCAAGCCACATCACCTTTTACAGCCTCAGTTTCTTCATCTTTATATTTAGGGTAAGGGCATTAGACCAGATAATCTTTGAGCATTTTTTGGAAGCTATAAATGCTATGATTATGTCAGAAATGCTCTTTGTACAAGGACTCCTGATGACTGGTGATCCAGGAGGGAAATAACTTTATTCTGTCCTTCCCCCAAAGAATCAGAGAATGATTCAAATCTCTGATTTGCCACTAGCTTGCTGCATGACCTTGGACAAGTCTCTTCCCTTCCTTTGGCTTCAATCTGCTCATTTCTAAAATGAGGGGCTCTAACTAAATGATTTCCAAAGCCTCTTTGGGCAGAATTTCTATAAATTAGGAAAATGAGAAGGGATCATCTCATCTCATTTTACAAATGGGGAACTGAGGCACAGAGATTGGAAATGACTTACCCAAGATCTCACAGCAAGTCAGTGGCAGAGTCAGTGACTAGGATTAGTTCTGACTCTAGCCAGTTCTGGCTCATTCCCCCAACCACTGATACTGTAGGAGTAGCCTATGAGGCAGAGAACTTGCTTTTTCTCTCACTGGTGGGTGGCAAGGCTGGGATCTATTGTAGAGAGAGCAGCTGTAGGAGGAGATTGGCAGTGTCACACCATGCCTGGGGGCAGCCATGTGTGAGGCCAGAGTTGAGGAGGTACAGGTCCAGCAGACTGTGTGACAGGTGAATCCTGCTAAGCCTAATGTAGAGAAAGATTCTTCTGGTTCACTCCCTCCTGGGGCTCTGCCTCCCTCATTTCCCAAAGCCTGGTCCTGGGTATCCTTGGGGTCCCTCTAATCTGAGGCAGAGACACTATCCCTTCCTTCAGGGAGCTCCCCGTTTAGATGGAATACATCACCCCTGGCCTCAGGGAGCCCCTTGTTTTAGGGAAGACATAGTCCTAGCCTCATGAAGCCAGCAGAATGAGGAGGAGACACAAACCTTGCCCTAATGGAGCCACCTCTCTGAGAAAAGAGGCAGCCCCCCACATTCAGGGAACCCTTAGTTTGAGGGGAAGATGAACCCCTTGGTCTGTGGAGGAGACATAGCCCTATGCTCTTGGAGCCTGCCAGTCTGAAAGACATATCCCTCGCCTTTGGAGAGTCCCTGTTCTGAGGGGATATAAAGCCTAGTCCTCAGGAGGCCCTCATCTGAGCTGAACAGGGAAGAACATTTCCTGCCCTCAGGCAACACTTACTCTGACTTTGAGATTTAGGAGGCCCTAACAATTGCAATCTTAGTGGCTTATCTAGTCACTGGGGCTACTGGGATTTAGTCTGTGCAAGGGACCCATGGAGGAACCTGGCTCCTGAAAGCTAAGGACCTGGGGTTGAGGCTGGAGGCAAGAGCAGGATTCTCAGGCCAACAGCAGCAAGTGGAATCTATGAACCTTCACTGAGAAGGGCCACGAGAGACACCACATATCATGATGAAAGCTTTCTGGCATCAAATCCCTCTGGGTAAGCAGCAATGTTGCTGCTCTAACAGCTCATTAGTTCAGATGGGTTTGACCGAAATCGTTTGACTCAACTTTGGGCTTTTGAATGTTCACCAATTTTAGATGTATCATCTTTGGACTTTGCTGACACTGCTCTTTCCTGGTTCTCCTCTTACTTATCTTACTGTTTCTTCACAGTCTCCTTTGCTGGGTAGGGTGTTCCCCAGAGACAGAAGGAGAGATAGAGAGAGGGAGAGACAAAGAAAGGGAGAGGGAGAGAGAGTCAGAGACAGAGGCAGAAAGAGGGAGAGGGAGTCATAAAGGGTGAGAGAGACAGAGCTAGAGACAGAGACAAATGAAGAGAGAAAGACAGACAGAGACAGAAACAGAAACAGAGAAATAGTTGAGTAGACCCTTGAGGGAAGATAAGGTCTGAAGTAGAGATGGGAAGGGATTGTATTCTAGCCGGAGCAGAATCACAAAAGTGCGGGTGAAGGGGTCATGTTTGTGGACTAGCTTATAGTCCAATTTGGAGTTCACAAAGGGGAAGGAGTAGGATGAAACTGCTGGAAAGGTGCTGCCGCATGCGAGAGGATCTTCAATGCCTGCTTGTTTGAATTTTATTCCAAAGGCAATAGGGAGTCCTTGACGGTTTTTGAATAGGGGAGGGAAGATTATTTTGACTGCTCTGTTAAGGGTAGAATGGAGAACGGAAAGATGGGAAGCAGGGAGACAAAAAAAAAAAGGCTGCTGCAGTAGTCTAGATGAAGAAGTGATGAGGAGCTGAACTCGTCTATCTTTCTGTCTCTGTCTCTATCTCTCTCACTCTTTCTCCTCATATTACCTTGTATATGTTTGCATACTTGGAACAGCAATGTGGTTCAATGGAAAGTATGCTCTATCTGGAATCAAAGGGCTTGGGTTTGAATCTTGCCTCTGCCTGCTAACCACTTTGTGACCTTGGGCAAGCCACTTTGGAACCTCCCTGGGTCTCAGTTTCATTTGTAAAATGAGGGAGAAGGATTAGTGACTTTTAAGGTTTCGTCCAGTTCTGAATCTACCTCTCCCCTAGAACGTAAGCTCCTGTTCTGGTTTTGTTCTCCCGAGAACTCCCTGAAATCTGGGGGTCTGGAGGGTTCAGGCTTAGAGCGAGTATGAGCTGGGGGGACGAGTATAGGACAAACTCTGCAGGACTTCACTATGAAGGCCCTGACAGGCAGAGCGGGTGAAGACGTGTGTATGTCAGAGATCTGCTACTGACTTCCCCGCAATGTAGGGGACCGAGGTCAGGGGCTTGGGGCTCTAGGGAGTAGAAGGAGGGGCGTGCGCGCGGGGGGCAGGGGTAGTGAGACAGCGCGAGGTTAGGGGGGCGCGCAGGGGCCGGGAGCGCGCTGCAGCTCCGGCCCGCTCGTCGCCGCTGCCACTGCCGCCTTCTTCGGTCGCCAGCCTCCCTCCTCCCCCCGTCCCCAGCGCGCGCGCGGCTCTGATGTCGCGCGCGGGCGGCTTGTGGAGCGGAGCGGCCTGGGAGGGGGAGTGGTGGAAGGCCGCGAGAGCGAGGGAAGGAGGCGCTCTGGAGCCGAGGAAAGCACTGGCGCGGCTCCAGGCCGGGGGCCGGGGGGAGGCGGGGGGGCCGCTCGGAGGGTGAGGCGGCGGCGGCGGCGACGGCGGCGACGGGCGGGCAGGTTGGCGGCTGCATATTTGAAGGAAAGTATCAGTTTGTATTAGCTCAGTGTGTTTGCTCCAGCGGCCGCGGCGGAAGCCCGAGCCCGAGCCTAGCCTAGCCCGCTTGGCCAGGGCAGAGCAGCGCAGCGCAGCCCAGCCTTGTCCAGCCCAGCCCGGCGCGGCGCAGCTCAGCCGGGGTCGCCGCTGCCCCAGCCCTAGCCCCCGCTCCGGCCCCAGCCCCGGGGCTGCTCTCTTGCCCGGGGCCGCCTTCCTTTGCCTTGCCTTGCTCTGCCTTGCCTTGCCTTTCTGGGGCAGGCACTCCGGACAGCGCAGCAGAGGCGCCGCGCAGAGCGCAGGGCGCAAGGCGGCGAGGCGAGGCCCGAGCAGGCGGCCCGGAGTCCGGCCCCCGGCCTCCGGCCGGTCTCCAGCTTCTCCCTGCGCTGCGCTCTGCTCTGCTCCGCTGGGCGCGGAGTAGTTCATGGAAACATGGCGGTGTCGGCTCCGACCTGCGGCGCCTCCTCGCTTGCCCGGGCTCTGTGCGGCGGCAGCGGCGGCGGCCACCTCCACCTCCACCTCCACCTCCACCTCCTGCTGCTGCTGCTCGTCCTCCCGGTGCCCGGCGCCCGCAGCTACAGCTTCCCCCAGCAGCACACGTAAGTGGCCGGCCGCAGCCCGGCGTCCCTAGCCCCGGCAACTGCAGCGGCAGTGATAGCGGCAGCGGCTGGAGCCGTCGGCGGAGCGCGGAGAGGAGCGGAGCGGAGGCGAGCCGAGCCCGGCAGAGCAGGGCAGGGCAGGGCAGGGCAGGGGAGGGGGCTGGGGAGCAGACCGGTTGCGCTGCTCGCAGCTGCTGCCGCTGCCGCTGCCGCTGCCGCCGCCGCCACCACTGACTTTCTGGAGTCCGCGGGGCCGGGGGCAGAGGTCGCTCCCGGGAACGAAGGGGTGCGGGTTCAGAGGAGACGGAGACAGAGGGAAAGGGGATGAAAGGATGGGAAATAGAAGGGGTGAAAGGATGGAGACAGAGGGGAGGACTCGGGCTGGAGAAAAGCGAAGAGATAAAGGGAAAGGGGACAAGGGCGAGAAAGCGGTACAGAGAAGAGAGGAGGAGACGAACAGAGGAATAGGGGAGGGGGGAACAGGCCGAGAGGGGAAAGGAAGAAGGGAGAGAGAGAAGCAGAGGGGAGGGGGTAGGGCAAGAAGAAAGAGGGGGAGTGGGAGAGGCGGAGGGGAGGAGAGGGACAGAGAAGGGGTAGAGCAGGGAGAGAGGAAGAGGGAGAACGGAAGGTGGGGAGAAGGGTCAGTGATAGGTAGGTTGAGGAAGGCTGTAGGGGCTGCTTAGTTCTTTCTATAAGGGATCAACCGAGATGGACGTCTATACCTAACCCCTTCCCTAGCCGGGTATATGCAGAAGGAGAGCCAAGCTTCTGAGATGAGATCAGAACCCTTTTTCTTTGGTAGATGGAGATGGGCTAGGGAGGGAAATAGGAAAGTTCATGAAGATGACGAACCCCGGCATCTCTGTTTCTCCCTGCGCAGCGCACCCCTTTCTTTGACTGAGCCTGGTCTGGAGAAGGGGGGGGCATGTTTACAGACAGTCGGGGAGCCTAGCCCTGAGCCTTCTCAGGGTGAGAATGAAGAAGCTGACCTACTTCACCCCTCCCACTCCCCCAACACACACACACACACACACACACACACACACTTCTGTTTGTCCCCAGAGTGACCGGAGCCCCTTGAAAAGAAAACCTCTGTTCAGGGTGAAGGGATAGGAAGAAGGGTAAATTCGGGGATGGAGGTATTTGTATTCTGTCTCCAGCCCTCTGATTGCCTGCCTAGCAGAGTTTTAGCACCAACTGCACAACCCGGTCTTTCCATTCAACACAGTCCCCTTTCCCCAGAGACAGTCTGTGTTTGGTCTTTTTCAATGAGTGTTTACCCCACCCACCCCTCAGTGTTCACACCTTGCCCCTTATCTGCAGGCTCATAAAGCATCCCTCTCCTCTCCCCTCCCGTTCCCCTCCAGGACCTTGGTGTTTTCTGCTCTTAATTATCTCTTTGAAAAAGGATGCTGAATGAATGGGGAGGCGGTTGGGAGAGAAAACATTTTGGCTGGAGCCAGGAATTCGCTTTTCCCCTTGCACAACCACCTCCTTCTCTAAACCCTTACGCCTCTCTCTATCAAGTGTCTGAGGCCTTATTCCCAGCTTCTAATAAAAAAGGTGATTTTCCCAGCACTTTCTCTCATGCCTTCTGTAAGAGCTAGGGTTCAGTTAAAAGGTGAATGTTAGCCACTGCCTGACCCTTTAGCTCTCAGGAACGGCGATGTTGACAGAAGGTTTTCACATCCTTGGGAACCCAGCTACAACTTTAACTTCTGTTTTGTCCGCCAGATTGAATCTATAGCCAGGTGGTTTTGAAGCAGACTAACAAATGAGTATTGTCTGGGGAACAAGGTATTAGTTTAAAATGGCCATTAGGCTTAATGTGGATAATTTATCTGGCGGTCAGGTATCAGATGTGGATGTTTAAATTCATATATCCCCTCTGTGTGTCTGACACACTACCAACCCCAATGGGTGATGGTCCCTGTCTGTCAGAAGGACTCTTGAAAGGTACAGGCATTCAGGAGCTCTTACACCAAATCATTTATCCAGCAGCCAGGAAAAGAGTTCTTTAGGCACTGGTCCTGGGCGTGTGTCTGCCCTTCTGAATCTGCCCCTTGTTGCCCTTAGGAGGCCAGATTGCTAGAGGAGGTGGCCAGAGAAAAACAGAAGAGGGGTTCTGCAGCGGTGAAGTGTGGACTCCAAGGGAGGAAAGAAATGTGAGAATTGTATTGATCCTTTCTGCTAAGATAGGGGCACACTAACATCCTTCTGGAAAATCCTCCAGACAGTTACAGGTCCTCAAAATCAAACTCAGCCAATGTACTTCATCTCATTGCTAGCAGGCTTGCAAATTCCAGTTTATTTGTGCAAGTACCTTTATTATTACTTTTTTTTTAATTGGAGGAGATAAAGTTCCAATGGTATAGATTTTTTTCTTGCCTTCTAATTTAAAATGATTAGAACTGATTTAAACTAAAATTTTAAATAGGCAGGAGGCAGGGAATTGTTGAGGTGTTTCCCCCCCCCCATTCACAAAGCTGAGCTCAGGCCAAAGCACAATTATTATTTTTTTCCAGCTAGGCTTCTAGTCAAGGTTTTAAAATAGACGTCTCTTGCTTGCTCGATTTCTCCCTGCAACCTGCAGTGGTGCCCAGACAATGGTTGTGCATACATAAGTTTTCATAAAATGGTTGGTGTTAGACCCTTAGACAGTACAGATGGGCCAGCGTTTCACCGTTGCTGGGTATGGGGAAGTCGGCAGGCATGCAGATGAGTCTTCAGAGAAAGCTCGAAGCTATTCACTTGCCTGGTGTAGTTTAGGTTCATGGAGTGGGGTAGGGAGGAGGTGGAATGAAAACACCTTGCAAATCATAGTTGGAGAGCCAGTGGGAGTCAAGGTGTATGTGGCGGGGAGGGGGAGGGCAGAGGGAAGGTTGGCGTCAAAGAGGTCCTTGAATGCAGAATGAGACTCAGTAGATTAAAAACCACTTCCCAACCTGGTTTCCGTGGGCAGCCTCCCTCCCATACCCCTCTATAAACAGGTGTCAATTTGATCTTTGGCCCTTGCCAAGAAAAAAAAGAAAGAGCTCCCCACTGCTCCATGCTCCCCATGCACCCTGCCAGTCTTGATTTGAGAACAGAACAGCTTTTGCTGAAGTGTGGAAAACTCAGAGATGGAAGACAGAGCTCTCCAGTTTGATGGGGCCGTGATGTCGGCAGTGTGAGATTGGAGGGTCACCCTGGAGGGGTTGGGGGCAGGTGCCAGAGGCCTGTACCTATGACACCATCTCCCCATGAGAATATGGGCCAGGCTGCAAGCAAAGCAGAAACCTCCTCCCCCAGAAAACCCCAAAAGAAACTACGGCCACATCTGTTAGGTAGTGTTTGGCTCTTGGGTCCATAATGACACAGTCTCCGATAGAGGCATTATTTCCTAGGAGACGAACAGACAGGCTGGAGGAGGTAAACTTCCTGGACAATTTCCCTGGCCATAAATCACCAGAATTAGATGGTTCGGTGGAATGAACCTTGATAGAGACGGTGCAGCTTTCAGGTAGAGGGCTGTTCTCTTTAGTCTTGCCTCAGTAACAACATCAGTGCCAAATTGCTTCGAGCTTTCCCCATTATGTCAGGGCTGTGGTTTGGGATCTGGGGCAATTTCTTTATTTATTTTTAATTTCTGAAAACCTCTAGGCACCTTGATTTCCTGTACTTACCCTAATGGAAGAAAAGAGGTTTGGATTTCGATTTTTGTTGATTTTTTTCTTGTCTAGGGATTACCATTACTCTCCTTTGGTATGTGTCCCCTGCCCACATAATAAAAGACTCTAGACCAGATGTTTCTAAACTGGGGTCCATGAACGTGCTTTTTAAAAAATATCGTTGTAACTGTATTTTAATATAATTGGTTTCCTTTGTAAGCCTATGTGTTTCATTTCATGCATTTAAAAATATTTTGAGAAGGGGGCCACAGGCTTCATCACACTGTTTAATGGGTACATAGCATAAATCCTTCACTTGACAATGGACTGTTTAAGACCTTTTTTTGAAGTGATAATTAGTTTCCCTGACCCCTTTGAAAGAATAGGGGAGTCGGGAGAAGATGCTTTGACTTCCCTCCTCACATTTTCGATCATTCTTATTTTGTATATGAGTCCTGCCATGATACCAGTGGCCTCTGAAATCTTGCTTCCTCTCTCTCTCCTCCTCTATTTCCCTCTCTCCCTTCTCTCTCTCCTCCTTACTCTTTCTCTTCTCTCCTTTTTTTCTCTCCCTGCCTTCTGTCTCCTCCCTTTTCTGTCTCTTTTCTTACCTCTCATCCTTTGCTTATCTGGCTCCCACAGCTTCCATATGATGCAGAATCAGGTAGGGCTTAGCTCATACAAGGTTGCTTCTTTCCATGTGAGACTCACAGGCTGTTTGGGTGGTGCTCCCTGGCCAGGCAGGGGTAGATAGAGTGAATCTAGCCTTTGGTTTATGGGATGGTGAGTACAGAAGGGTGATCATCTTCCCTTGTGTGAGACTCCAACAGCTGGCTGACCCATCACGAAGCCCCTTTAATGAGCAGCTACTTGGGGGGGAGGGTTATGTTTCCTCCATAGGGCCTTGTTTCCCTCTGGTCAGGGTTAATTGGAGGACATCTACTGGGGCAGGGGAGACCCTTTATCAGGCAATACATCTTCCTCCTTTACCTGGGAGAAGGGACAAGAAACAGCAAAAATGGCCCCATCCTAAGACCACCACATGTTGGCAGCAGGATGCCAGCTGCTTTGCCTAGCCCTATGCCATGCCCCAAATATCATAGTCCTTAGCTCCTCTCCCTATTTTTTTTTTTCTTTCTTTCTTTCTTTCTTTCTTTCTTTCTTTCTTTCTTTCTTTCTTTCTTTCTTTCTTCTTTCTTTCTTTCTTTCTTTCTTTCTTTCTTTCTTTCTTTCTTTCTTTCTTTCTTTCTTTCTTTCTTCCTTCCTTCCTTCCTTCCTTCCTTCCTTCCTTCCTTTCTTTCTTTCTTTCTTTCTTTCTTTCTTTCTTTCTTTCTTTCTTTCTTTCTTTCT